GCGGAGGCGGAGGAGGAGGAGGAGGAGGAGGAGGAGGAGGAGGAGGAGGAGAGGAAGAGGAAGAGGAGGAGGAGGAGGAGGAGGAGGAGGAGGAGGAGGAGGAGGAGGAGGAGGAGGAGAAGGAGGACGTATGGAACAGGAGGTTGCGATGATGTCGCCTATCCCCCTCAACACTCTTGGATACGAGCCGCCCTGTGCATCATGTGCCAGAGTCACCGGTTCCCACGCTCCCCTGCTTTTCCCCTTTGGGTGTGCAAAAAACCGCTCGTGAACAGCTACAGGTTGTGATCGCGCGCGCGCAGCGTCGAGGGCAGATATGAAACCAAGACGATATTCATCTTCTAGCAGTCCAGAGTGCCCCATCGGCTGGAGTGAGGCGCTCGAGCCCAGGCGCCCGTGTGCCCACACGATACTATATTCTTTCCTGTGCCCAGCGCCTGTTGTCATTTTGGCTCAGGCGGCGCTGTGAAACGACTGGGCGCTAGAACTGGCCCGTGGGCCAGCCTGCGCTCTTAACGATGTTCTGCGCCGGATCCGAGGAGAGTGCCTCCCTGGCGCCGGCGAGGTCGGGGCCCACCTCCCCCTTCTGCGCCTGCGTAGGATGCGAGCAGACGGCGGGCGTCATCAGCGTCGGGGCCTCGCACGGCCTTCTCCGGACGGGGGTCCGTGCAGGAAAGCCTGGCGAAATGGGCGGCGCATTTTGGCTGGCATGTGGGACGGGCGTTCGGGGCCTCATCGACGAGAAATTAACAGGCAGCCCACATTATTGGAGGGACTTCAGCGTCGACGTGAGGTGCACAACGGAATCTTGGAGGGACAAGCGAGAGCACACGGACAATGATTTCCTCAGTATCTTTTTTCGTCGGGGCACTTTCCTGGCAGGCGTCGGTTGTGTAGTGGTTCCAGGGGCAACTCGCTACGCGATTCTCGTTCTTCAGTACAGCGTGCGGACGGCCTTCTTGGAGATTTCCAGCAGCAGGGAAAAAAATGAGGGGGGGTGCCAGTGACCTTGGTGAGTGGCTCCAGACTGCGACAAGGGGGTCTCCAGGCCAAGAGCTCGGCAAAAACTGGGCGTGCGGTTTTGGTAGCCGACGTCAAAAGCTGGCCTGGCGCCAGCCTGCAGACAAATCAATTCTGGGTGTTTGCCCCCCCTCCCCCCTCCTCCTCCCCCCCTCCCCCTCCCGCGGGACAGAGCGGGAGCAGAAACAACAGAAAGACCGGAAGGCTCTTGAGAATCCTGTGTTCGCCAACCGGGTTGAGCAGGTAATCGGTAATCTAGAGAGGAGCGACTGACCGCGCGGACCCCGACTCAGTGTACGAGCAGTGTACGAGCGGTGGGCAGGAAACGTTGGACAGTTTGAAGCGTGCGAGCCCGTCCTGCTGGACAAAGTTTCGCCGACCAAGACGTCTCGGATCAGGCAAGGCACGCTCGACTGCACCAAACGCCGCGAAGAGACCCAGATGAATCAAGACAGGGACGAGCAGCGGAGACGACAGAAGACGACAGAAGTTGGTACGCCAGTGCGCCACAGGTGGGGCAAGACGCAGTGGCTGGACGACTTTCTGAGTGGCGGTGCTTGGGGCGATCTGGCGACGATCCGAAGGCCTCGGGGAGCAGAGGCTTCTTGCGCCGGGACTTGTGTCAACACTCTGCGGACAAGCGTGGAGCAAGCAGACACGAGGGCAGAGTATGGTGTCGCGTACATTTTAATGACATCTTGGGTCGACCTCCTCTTCGAAAGCGTCTCCCCGTGGACACGAAAGATCTCGCGCTGGACGAGGTCGAGGGCGTTACCCGGCAGCTGGAAAACAAGCGCGCCTGAGGAGAGAACAGTGTCGTAGAGGATGAAAGGGAGGCGCTGATTGGTGACCGCGACTGCCTTCACGCCACGGCCAACTTTATGCACCTTTGCTGGCGGAGGCGGGCGACGCCCAGAGCATGGCGCAGAGACGTGTTCACGACCACTCACACAAAGGGCGAAACTGACAACCCAGCCCACCATGGGTTGATCAGTGTGCTGTCGCCGCGGAACAAAAATATTCGCTTCACTTGTGCTTCGGCGGCTCCGGATGGCAGGGGAGGGGGCGGTCCTTTGTCGAAGTGCCACTTTGGAGTCCGCAGTGGGCGAGGTACCCACGACGCAATGTGTACTGTACAAAAACACCTTGGACACGAATGGGTCGCGAAGGATGGGGGCGGGTAAGTTTTAGCACGTGATTGTGAGCAAGTGTTTTGCCCCAGGGTCACTGGTTCAGTGCTCCGAGCGCTTGGTCGTGTGGGGCTTTTCTGTGCAGTGCTGGAGGTTGGCCGGTGAATATATCACGAGCGTACTTGTGTTTTGCTGGGCACTGGCAAGGCCCGTCGTGACGCACGATGCGTAGTCTAGCCTTCACCCGGCGCGCCCGGGGTAGTGTCGGCAGGTCGCAGACGTGGGGATATGCGGCGAAAGGCCAGAACAGGTGGCGACGCATGGCAGGGGCTCCATGCGGTTTGGGCCGACGCCGCAGGGGATGGCTTAGAAATGCACTCGTGTAAATTTCAAAAGCGCAGGACTAGATTCAGCGGGGAAGTGCGGACACCCGATGGACAAGAGATACTGGCCAAGGGCATTTTTTCCTCGGTGCCAGGGTGAGCAGCGACGGCTGCCTGGTGCTAGAGCTTACGCGGGATCTTGGGGTGGCCGGCTCAAGGAGGTTGCTGGAGCCATTTGTCCATCATGCTGCCAAGGAAAGTTGAAGTATTCAGAGCAACGGTCGTGCAGAAGTGGACTGGCAGCCTCAGCACAGCGTGCTTGAAAGCAGCAAAAAGAGGCGACGAGGAGAATGAGCGCATACGCGACTGCTCGGGATCACCAGTGGGACTCAGTAGCCAATACTCGAGTGGGGTGAGGCCTCCGGTGCTTTTGCGCATTTCTAAGCAGGAGGTCCGTCGCAGAACAGGGCTGAGGGCAATCGCAGACAGACAGGCAGCCCGGGGGACCGAGGGGGACACATTGAGAGACGTCATCGTGCATTTTAGGTTGCTGGCGCTAGTGACAGACAAGTTCGTCCGGAGGGTCGTGGCGACACGGCTGGAACGGGCGAGACAGTTGCATCCACGCGCCGTGCGTGTTCCTGGCCAGGGAGGAGATCCTCAATTACAAGATGCCGAGAGTTTCATGGACACCTGGGTGCCGCAACCTGTGTGCCGCATGTGCCGCCAACGCGCCCGAGGGCGTCTGGCTCTGTCCTGCATGTCCTGTCCTGTCCTGTCCCGTCCCGTCCTGTCCTGTCCTGTCCTGTCCTGTCCTGTCCTGTCCTGTCCTGTCCTGTCCTGTCGCGTCCCGTCCCGTCCCGTCCCGTCCCGTCCCGTCCCGTCCCGTCCCGTCCCGTCCCGTCCCGTCCCGTTCTGTCCTGTCCTGTCCTGTCCTGTCCTGTCTGGCCTGGCCTGGCCTGGCCTGGCCTGGCCTGGCCTGGCCTGGCCTGGCATGCCCTGGCCTGTCCTGTCCTGTCCTGTCCTGTCCTTCTGATGGCTGGCAACGCCATTGCGCCAGGGCAGACGACTGGGAAGACAGGCCGCGCCAGTGAGGCGAGACAGCCCAGCCAGGGTGAACCCAGGAGAGTGCCGCCGACGAGATCGGCAGTGTCCTTGCGCACGGAGGCGGCGGACCCTGGAAGCAGTAGGGCGTCGACCTCGGGCAGAAGTTTGCGTCAGACCCTTCCGCCGATAGCTGGGTCGACTTTCGCACGGGCAGCCTCGCGAGCAGCCTGGCCGACAGGAGGCGCCAGAAGGGCCGCGGGGCCAGCAGCGTGAGCAGGCTGCAGACTGGCGCGAGTTTAGTGGACGGGCTATCAGCGCACTTTGCTCTGCTCTGGCTTTTCGCGCGACCCTGCCCACAGTGCGTCACCCGTGTGCGTGATACCAGATGCAGTCGCCCGTGCGGGCCAGATGCTGGGCCGGCGTGTCGTAGCTGCAGTTTTCGGCGATGTCCAGCGAGTCGCTGCAGAAGATGTTGAGACCAGCGTCCGCAGGCACTGCCGCGCTGGGTCCAAGCCACCGCACGGCGGGCAAGTGCACAGGAGGATCCCTGAAGCGTGTGCGGGCAGTTTTGGTGCTGGGATCGCGGACAAGGGCAGCGCGCAGTGCGCCGCCCGCGACGGAAGCACAGGATCAGGGGGCCACGCGCCGTGCTGCCACCGTTTGCTGACGCCCAGGCACTGGGCCCCGCGCGACGCTCCGTGGCGGGGCTGCGAGGCCGCGAGCTGGCGCCAGGGTTTTGCCTCCAGGCGGCCAGCGCTGGGAATTAGCAGGACGGAGCCAGCGGCGGCGGCAGCCAGGCGCGCACGCGGAAGTGTAGGTCCCAACCAGCCGGCGCGGCAAGCACCTCCAGATCAAAGCACCCGGCCTGCCGGCAGTGGCAGGAGTGTCACAGCCAGGATTGTCTTGTCGTTGGGGTCTCCGTTTCCATGCCTGACCTCGTCGCGGCATTCGTAGGAGCGGCCCGGCGGGGGCTGTGGAATCGCAGGAGGTTGCGCCACAGCGTGGAGAGGATGGGCAT